GAAAATATTTACAGGAAACTAGATAAATACTCGTCTTACATAATTATCTGTCTTGGCAATGAGGCTGGACTACATTATCTTTTTATGTTCTTTCTAGCACAACATTTTCTGATTGGGAAAAAAATCAGTCTGCCTTCTGATTTCAAGCCAGCCAATATCTTTCTCATTATACCACACTAGCTCTTTAAGGGACGTAGTGTGGAACTTTGGGTGTCATTGCAGTCAAATTGTGAGCTGCTTATCCCCACTGGTATACAGCTACTTGCTGAAATAGCCCAATTAATTTCAATGTGGAGATCTGTGCAAATCATTTCTGAATGAAGGCAAGAACAGGTTCATAATATGGCCCTTTTTTTTTTCCATAATTTTGTCTTACAGATGAAAATTTAATTTGTAGTAACCTTGTGAGGCAGAATTTACTACTTTTTGTCAAGTATTATGAGATTCTGAAGTGAGAAGTGCTAAAACCTTTGGAAGCTCTTGATACTCTTCACTGTTAATTAACATCCCTGTAAGCAACAGGGTGTGAATTTACAAAGTAGACTGTGAATTCTATGTAGTGGCATTATATTGTAAACAAGAATACTTGTACTTTCTGGTTATATTAATATTGCTTAGCAAAAGTGAAGCAGTGAGCATAATTTTTTCCACAAGCATGGAATTACAAGGGTTTGACCAGGCAGGTTCAAGAGAGAACAGCTGGCAATTTTTTTATTGACAGAATTTGTCAACAGTTAAAGGTGAGGAAGGACAATAAATGGGAATGAGAGCATTTTTTCCTTTTACAGTTGACAAATAACTTCACCAGGCAAAAATACAGCAGGATGAATTGTAATAAATACAGTGTTTGTGGTAAATTATCTTTGTTAGTAAGGAAAAATCCATGTATTGATTAATTCTTTTTATGTGCAGAATCCAGTTATTGGATGCCTCATAAAATCATCCTTTTAATCTTCATATTACCTGCAAGATAAGACTAAATTAAGGAAACTACACTTCAGATCATCGTGTTTCATTCTCTCTTGCTTCTGAAGAAAAAGCTTGAATTGCAGAAATGGCAAAATCATGTTCCTATTGATTTTGAAGAGTACTTAAGAATAGCTCCCACAGCTTCAAGTTGGGCTAAAAAGAAAAAGTGTGCATCTGAGACAGCTAGTTCATATCAGTAAATTTAGTCACTGGCTTCCCACTGTAAATCCCACCATAACTCCCACTGACTTACTGCAATAGCTCACCTGAGTAAGCTAAGTAATTGTAAAAAGCTCAGTAGTCCTGAGTAGGGTATCCTTCTGCAGGGCAAGAGAAAAGGTTAGATTTTTCTTGTCAGCTTGAATTAATAAGTGATGCCAGAAGGCTACTTTGAGTTGAGTGATGTTTTCCATTTTTTGATTATGCTTCCCAAAGACACTGGAAAAATATTTGAACAATCCTCCTTTTCATCTCCAAGTTCCCACATGACTCCAGTGTTGTTTCTGAAGTAACCCATGCTGACGCATTCCCTAGCGTACTTCTGGAAGATGTAGGATATAATTTGGCAGATTTGTCAAATGACAAATTTGACATTTGGGGTGATGTAGAGTCGAATGCAACCACTTCTGACTAGCAGAAATAAAACCACTCTTAGGAAGGAAGTGAGCAAATATATGAGAATAGTTATACTTTTTTTTTTAGTGTAAATGCACTGAAGTAGTGTGAGTTACAGAAGTGTAAAGAAAGTATAAAGGAGGGGGAAAAAAACATCCAGAAAACATTTACAGCCTCCTATTGTCATAGACTCATAGAACTGTTAAGGTTGAAAAAAACCTCCAAGATCATCTGGTCCAACCATCCCCCTACCACCAATTATCAGCCACAAAACCATGTCCTGTATTCATGCTATTATTTGCTGAAAGCAGTCCAAACACTTGTGGCACAGCGTTTGTGCATCCTTTCTGGGCATGTACCATTTCCTGGGCTTTCAGCATGGAGCAAACATGCACAACACTATCTTTTCCTGGACTGGAAAAACCAAGCAAAAGAAATGATAGCTTGGTTTTAGTTGGCTCTACTTCCACCAACCAGATTTATTTTGCCAATTAGAATCATGGTGAGAGTCACTATGAGATGATGCTGAAGAGAGTGTTCAGTGAAAAATGCTTGACCTATTTGTTACAATTCTCCCAGTAGGTGTCAGTTGTAAAATAGTAATTTAAGATATAGAGTAACCTAGAATCTCTGCCAAATGCTTTTTCACCTATGTTGTTGGTTTAAGTAAAGATAGAGATGACTGGACCAAACTTGATGTTTGCAATATCATTAGTCATGGGAATAAATGGCATTCTTCATGGTTTGTTTTCCTTTAATGATAGGAGGAAATAAAATTCATATGAGTTAATGTTGCATGTACAGAATTTCCTGTATTTTCCCAGAAATAATTTCTTTTTTTTTTTTTCAGGCTTTTGAGTAACATGTGTTCTTTAAAATACAGCTTAATTATAGAAGAACATAAACTCAGCTCATTTCATGTGGTTTTAAGCATAACCTAATCCTTCATAATTTTGCCAAAGTGTTTTTTTTTGCCTCAAGACTTTTTTTTGCCTCAAGATTTCCAGCTTGGCTTAAGCCACTTTTCAAGCCTTTGTTTGATTATTTCTGCTATGTGGTTGGATTTATTCTCTCAAATTATTTGAGTTTTGACATCACAGTGTTTTTTTCTGCTTGAATCAGATAGTATGGTATTTACAGCAGTAGGACCCATGTAATGGAGCACACTTGCATAACAGCTAGTGCTTGATATTTTTCTCTGTGATGTGCTGGGATGAGTACAGGTAGCTAGAACCAAGAGGTGCCAGTCTCAGCAATTTTAGTTCAGGTGCCATGGAAAAGATAATCAGGAGCACTTCACAAATGGAGCAAAAAGTTTTGTAAACTGAAATTAGATAAGTGTGTGTGCCTTAACAAGTACGTTTCTTCATGTTTTGTATATTCAGCTTTTGTTATTGTGTTCAATAAGTGATAGAAATTGGAGACTTGCAACAAACAGGTCCCAGATACAACTGCCTTTTGTACCACTGTATGCGTTACATTATTCGTATTTTCCCACTGCCCTGTTCCAGGTAATATTTTGACATTCCTATGCCTCTTCTTTTTAACATACGATGTATTTCCATGGTATGTTAATGTATATGTAAACATTATGAAATTTCCCTTGAGCTGTCCTACAAAATAGATATTGTGCGTAGCACACCTGTAGAGTATCTGTTTGTCCCGCCTTTGTCATTTGATCTTGATTTCCTACCTTTCCAAGATCCAGTAAAACATCCCTGTGTTGACCTTCCCACCCTCTTTCAACCTTTCTCCAGAGAACTGATCAATACCTACTGATTTTCCTTTATTTGGATGATGGATAGCTTTGGATAACTCTGTAATCTACGTTGTTGTCCTGTCTACCATCAAATTCTCCAAGCACTGACCTTCATACCAGAGTTCTTCAGACATCATGCAGAAACCATGCCTATTACCAAATGGTTAAAGAAAGTCCTGGTAGATTCTCTTGTTAATTCATTTAGATTTCCTGAAATAGAGAAAACAAAACAAAATAAACCTGAGACGTTTGGAATTCTGACCTCTTGTAGAGTTCCACAATGCTTCACCAGCTGGGTGTTATTTGATCTACTTCTGCGTTTCTGTAATCTGTACTTGACCTAGTTTCAAGTGTGATCCAGCCCTTTCCAACAGGTTACTTTCACGTGACTGAGTGGTTAAGTACTTATAGGAGATGCCTAAGTGAGAAAATAAGGTATTTACTGCCCAAATAATATAAGTCTGGTCTGAAGCTTGCTTTCTGGTGCTCCAAAGTGACTCACACAGGGTCAGAGATGAGAGAGATCTTCAGGGGAATTTTTTATAATCCCACAGAAAGCCTCATGATTCCCCCTTTTACTCTGTAGAAGCAAGAAAAATAAAGGCAGATCTGTTCCCTGCCATATAGGCAGTCATAATAAAACATAGGGTAGAATATACCTACTTGTGCTTTGAGTTAGAGTCAACATACAGTGCTATTTTGAACTTAAGGAAAGTGAAATAATGAGCAATTCTTATTTTTTAAGGGAGTGGGCACTGACCAAATGAAAATCTGACTAAATCTGACTTCAACAGCATCCAGCTTCCAGCAGAGAGGCTGCTGGAATTGCCTAGGCACTGGTTAGTAGCTAGGAGGAGTTTGCTCTCTATGTTGAAGCTGACAAGCCTGAAAAAAAAAAGTGAATGATTTTAAATAAGCACCAGACTTCCACAACACCTCCAAAATTAGTCTCTAAAATATCATTATTAACTACCTATTAAAATGTGTTTTGATTTAATTTCAAATCTATTTAACCCACATCAATTTGTAGAGCTGTCTATCTCTGTTATTTTGCTTTATGCTTCACATTGTATATATTTGTACCCAGCTGTGCACATGCTTGGATGCATCATGGGTTGGCCTATATAGTAGAGTCATGAAGCATTTATGACTAGATCTTAGTCTCAGATGGATAAAATTGCACCAATATCTTATGAAGAACACAAAATTGACCACCAGCATGTTATAAATATGCCTGAATTTTTATTTATAATAATTTAGTTGAGAACACACATTGGTACCAAGGTCTATAAGACCTGTTGAAGTGATCTTTATTTTAAAAGGACCTTGTCTGTATAGCTTCTTCACATTCACTTTAGAACGCAACAAATAAAAAACAGAAACAAGTTTCTGATGGAGCATATGTGCTAATTTTTAGCATATTCTCCAGACAATTTTCTTTCAAGGCTTGCTTGTTAAAAGTGTCACTGTTCCTCTGTTCTCTGGTAGTGTTTAGAAAGGACTTGTTATGAAGGGCTTCTTAGAAAAGGTAGTAACTTTTTCTGTATAATTGCATACTTCTACATATATGCTTTCTGATGTATTTTAGCACATTTTCAAATTGAAGGAAATGTTTTCTTGAGTCAAAGGAAATGCTGATAGTTGTGTTTTTAAACTGTTAAATATAATTACACTTTTTAAAATAGAAATCCAAACAATTTAATTTCTAAATAGTCAAAGTAAAGTATTTTGACTAAGAAAATGTATTTTTCCTTCAGATAAAGTTCTTCAAAATCACGATAAACTCCTGAAGCACCTCTCTGATACTGGCGAGTGGGAAACAGCAGCTAGCAGTCTCTCCTGGCTGTGTGGCTTTTAAAATAAAAACAACTTTCAGTAGTGGTGAACTCTTCTCAGCCTTTGAGTGACTCATGCATGGCACCTAGGAGACTTGGAGACTGTGTCATTGAGAAGGTAGAGTTATTTGACGTATGTTAATATAATTCTCAGATATATACATGAAATATAATTTCATAATATAATATAATTTCATGTGTTAATATAATTTTCTACCCTCTCCCAGTATTGTGCTATTTGGAATTCTTTTGAGCTATCTGTTACAATTATACATGTTAAGAGCTTCAGCCAAAAGCTGAATAGTTTGAATGTTGCTAAATATAATGCAGCACAACAATGCAAAACAACTTGTGAAAAATATTCCTAGGTCAGTAGGATTTCTGTTTGATTTGTTCAGTTTTCTGCTTCATCCTTTTGAAAAGTGCCATACGATGAGTAGAGAGTAAGGCAAAACAACTTAATTGGATTTTGTGATACTGAGATTTGTGCTATTTATAATGTAGGTTCTTAATTAGTCTTAGTAGCCTTAATTCCTAGAACCAAGGGATTATTTGGAAATTTTAGCTTTTTTTTTTTTTTTTCTGTTCTTCCTTTTCCTTTTCCCTTCTTTGTTTTTTCTCCTTTCTCTCTTTTTCTCTCTAACAATGTTCATGCTTCCAGGGCTGCAGAGGAAAGTTTTAAAGCATGTTCTGTATTAAGTGTTAAGGAAAAACAAAACAAAACAAAACAAAAAAAAACACTTCCTTACTTCATTATTTTAAGGCCAGTTCAGGTTTTCAGTGGAATGTATAGCAGGCATAGATATCAGCAGGGCTTCCTGGTTTCTCATCTGTAAGACCCAACTTGTACTTCAATGCTGGAATAAACCATCCTCCCTGGATTGCACCGAGTCCTCATGAGCGTAGAGAGAAGGCACATCTAGAGAAGGCAAGATTCTGGACCAGCACCACATGAGGAGGGAAAAAAAAAAAACAGGTTTCAGGCCTCTGGCTGCTGCTGCAGAATCTTCTGTTACCTCATCTCATCAGGTCTTTGTCCTCTGCAAACAAAATGAACACCAGGTACAAATGATACAGAAAGTGTAGTTGAGGGAGATGTCATAAGCTTATATTCTTGCTTCCAGTCAGTTGGGAATGATTGTTTGAACTCAGATGTCAAGACTGTGTTCCCAGTTTGAAGTGTGAGTTTGAAATCCAGCATTTCAGGCAGCAATGGAAAGAATTTCATCATGAAGGAAAGGATGTAAACTGTGGAGCCAAAAGTCTTCACACATTGTATCTGTTTAAATAGACATATACATATATTGACATATTATTCATGAAATGTGCTAGAGGTTTTTGGATTTTTTTTTCCACTTTGTAGAACAGTATAAATTTTGTATTCACAGGAAAATGACAAGCTATTTTTAAGTGATAGCTTCATGTCAGTGCAAAAGGCAGCAGTTGTTGCCAGAGGAATGAAATGCCCACTAAAGATGGCAATTTAACTTACACTATGGGATTTCTGGATACACAGTGAATTTAGCCATGAAAAACTGTTCTTCAGCAGAAGCATGCACTTTGTCCTAGATTCAGTTTATAAACATCACTCAAAATATCATTGTCTTTTTCTGTGTGTGTGTGATTACTCTCAAGACAGGAAATGGGCATTTCCACACAGCTTGAAAACTGTGATCCTTGAAAACCTGTCTTTACTCTCTGTCAAGGATGACTGGAGTAGATTACACTGGAGTATTAAAAATACTAGACCACAAAAACTTTGAACCATTTCTATAACTTAGCTACCGTAATAATGGTAACTCTTTTTTTTTTTTTTAATCTACAAGATGGAAAAAATGTCAGCTTTCATATTTTTTTAATAAACAATCACTTTATTACTATGAAAGAATTTACTTATTCCTTACAATCTACATTTATCAATAGCACTAATGTAAAAATAGAGCAATTATATTTAAATGACAGAGCTAAATATTGTGTCAGAGGTATGAAGCAAATGGCATTGTTACTCATTTCTTGAAGAATAATTTTCTTCATGAAAGCTACGTTCTCAGGTTATGAAACCCAGCAGGGCCTTTCTGTCAACAAGCTACTAATTTCAAGTAAATTATGTAATCCAATACATAGTGTTTCTGTACTTCATATGGGTATGTACACATTATGTCCCTGCTCAGAAAAGTTCTTAGACTTAGGTCCTACTTCTCTGCATATTAATGTAAATCTTTTTAAAAAAATAAAAAAGGAAATTAACAGTTAAGCCATTCAGCTGTTCACCTGCACTCTACTCACTTGGCTACCTCCATTCTACTACTTCCCACACACATCTCCATCCTCCACTTGAACAACCCACAATTATCTTTATAATAAACCACTATGTTTATAATAATGGAGCTCAGAGCATCATCTATCAGTTTGCCTTAAACTTCCCATTGAATGGCCCTGTTTTCAGTTATTCATATGAGTGAATTTCAGATATTTAATAGAATTTCAATTACTTATAACCTTTATCCAAATGATTTTTTCCTACATGTTTAACTCAGTCTGAAATTTTGGGAAAATTGCCACCAAAGCATTTCAGCTATTTTCATCAGAATTGCTGAGGCAAGGAATGTGAATTTACTCAAGTTATACACTGGTGACTGTTTATCTGAGAATCTAAGAATTTTTAGTTGTGCAGGGCTCTGAAGTTGATCAAAACACCAAGCTTTTTGCCAAATCTGTGAAATTTACCCAAATTTAGCTATGTCAGAAGCACATGAGCTGTGTGTAGTTTTGCCAGACTCACAGCTCTGAAACATGAGAGGTCTACCCTGAAGTTGTAGTGACAAACCAGGGCTTTTCGTTCAGTACCAGTTCTCAGTTGAACTGAGTGTTCTGGTGGCCAAGCCTGGCCCCTCGAAACCAAAGATCCTTTTTGTTGCCTCTCTTGTTCATTATCTTTTGCATCTTTGCAGGACCTAGAAGTTCTAATTACCAGCCAGAACCACCTCAGTGATGTACTGCAAAGCATGGGGAAAATAATTACATCATGCTGTGAAGGACTGGCACCAGTGAGGTACAAACAAGGGGAAACCCTCAAGAAGCCCTCCTGTTGGGTTGGCTAGCATTGGCCTGGCACCCACACTGGCCCTTGCTGCAGCTTCTGAAGGGAAAGTGAAGTTCTGAGGGGAAATCTGAACAGGAAGAACATGAAGGTTTTGCAGACACCAATAGACAATTCCTTCTCCAAATATGAGGGGAAACAGAGGAAAGACTGGGCTTGTTTGAAAGCATTGCAGTCAGAGGAAGGTACCTTGGCTCATAGACTAATTGGGAGCAAGAGCTGACCTTTTGATATTGAATATAAGAGGGTCAGTGGTGAGCAGATAGGCCACAAAGGGCTTTGAATGTCAAGACAAGTCATTTGTGTCTAATTCGACTGAGAAGGCTACAGAGAGCCAGACTTAGGGCGGGGCCCGGGAAGAAGATTTGTGTCAAAGCTTGAGAGAGGGGGGCTGAGACTGGGGGCGGGAGAGGGAGTTGGGAGAGCAGGGGAGGTGGCTGGACAATCTGACTGAGATCAGCAATAGCAATGAAAGGGGAAGGGAGGAGGGGATGTTCGAGGCAACCTTCGTATGAATGAAAGCTTGACAGAAATGGCAGCAGTTTCTGAATTATTATAATATATTCCTAAGACATGCCAATTCAGGAGTTCACAATGCAGCTGTTGTTTCTGAGGGAATGAGAAATTATTTTACCAATTTATGCAAAGGACTATTAAAAAGGTGGCAGACGAAGAAAAAATATCTACATAAAAAGGAACGTTAATTGCTCCATAAAATGACTCACTGAGTGGTTCAAAAATCTTCTCATGCATAAATATCAAAAGTTTTACTGTTGGGGTATTTTTTGTTTGTTCCTTCATACTGAAAGAGTAATTCTCACAGGCCAGTATCTCCAGAAATAGTAGTAGATGCTTTGGAGATTATGAAACAAAGCAGGTATCTCCTGCTTTTAGCTTCCTGGAACTGGATAGTTCTGGGAATTGAAAGGGGGATTTTCATTTCCAATTTCTGTATTTACCTATGGACGTTTGTTCAAAGTACTCATCATGTGCTTAATCTTCACTTTACCTTTGGGACTATCAGAGGCATAACTTTAGCTGAGAAGAGATCTTTTGTCTCCAAAACCACAATATATATACTTTCAAATTCACCGTCCATGTAAATTATCAGGCTAAAGTAATATACATTATGAGCAATGGACTTCCAGTGAGCTTAAACACTACTATAACAAACGGACACTATACCATCAGCTAGTTCCCTGTGAAGGTTTGTCAGTTGCCTCTGTTCTTCGTATGACCACATATGAAGACAATTTGGAAATGTGTTGCTGCCTCCAAACCATGTCTGTGGCTGGCAGTGCTCTGTACAGTAGAATACAAAACTAATAATCCCAGCTCTCTCTTAATGATCCTGTTGCACAATGGGGTTGTTTTAATAATATCCAAAAAGTCCAGTGAAATGTGGGCTCCATCCTAGTGGGTAATGGGGCAGATGTGGAACCAAAATGATGCTGGTTTTGTGGGAACTGTCTAATTGTTCAATTTAGCACTGAGGCTGATTTTAAAGCAAGGTTCTGCAAAGAATTAAACACCGACAGAATTTGCGGGGGTGTCTTTTAGGCATGTGGGTGGTTTGTAACAAATCATAGACTTGTTCTTTTATTTCTAAAGCAGCAGCTGGATGTTGTAGTTAGGCAGGTGTCTATAAGTCCCAACTTATCAGCTCCAAAGAGGAGAGCAGTTTTCCTGAGGGGGTAGGTAAACTCACTGCAAGACTTGGGAGAAATCAGGACTTTGGGTACCTTTAAGTTTTACATCTTAAATACCAGAAGTCACTTCAGGTCCATTTTCTGTGGATATTTTCTATCAGTGTTTAGATAGATAGTGTGAATAATTGGTTATCAGAGGATACTGTCGTAGCCTCTTCATGGATTCTGCTCTGAACAGCTCAGTATTAGGCTTGATCCTCATGAAAGCATGGCGAAGGAATAATATAAAGGTATTATTATGTGTCCAGTGAGGATGTTGTCACTGGACCACAAACTCTTGAAGTGAAATGACCACTTAACTAGGAAATGCTTATGTGTTTATAAATCACAGGTAGCAAGAACACAGAAGGTTGGACTGTGAGATGTGTCAAAGAAGTGTGAGGAGAAATGGAAATGTATTATTGATTCCAGCTGGAAAATAAGCTAAGAGTTGGAAAATAGTATGCTTCTCCTGAAATACTTGCTTTCTCTCCAGCTGGTTTAGAAGGTATGGATATGGATTAGCTGGGAATTTGAATGGGAATGTTCCTCTAGATAGATGGGAAACGCAAAAGCATTATTAATAGCATGAGGTTCTTTGTGCTTTTCTCTTTGTTTATTTTTGTATATGTTTATTTATATTTATGTTTATTATGTTTTGTTAGATTTATTTATTTTATATTTATTTCTGTTTATGTTTATATATAATCAATATAAATATTATTTATATTTATGGCTGGTTGTGTTAGGGTTGGGTGAGGGTTCATATGAAGGTTTGCTTGCGGGCCGGTACCAGAGAAAATTATTTTATTTTAGTGGATGATTTCTGTGTATTGTGGTATAGCACCTCATATCTGCAAGGAACTTTATTCTGTTCTATTTATACATTTACCACAAGATGTAGACTCTGTCATAATAGGAGAGTGATTCAGTCACCATTGCCTTCAAGATGCTATCCATGAAGAAGGGGAGATAAATTCCCTTCCTAAATGAGGTTGATTTACATGCCACAAGTGTAACAACACTGTTAAAAATCAAGGAACAAATTATGTTCTTCAGCTGCCAGGAGTGCCCAGTCCAATGCAGGTCCCCTTGTTCTCACTCCAGTGATCCTCCATTGCTGTCCTGTAGCACATCAGGATGAGTGGCTGCTCAACCTACCTGATTATTTTTTTCTGCTTTCTTGTCCCTCTTTGTCCCTCACATCTGATTTCCAGACCCACAATACTAACTTCCTCCTGCTCTCTTTGCCTCTCAGAATAACCTGTCTGTCTGGTTCTGCTCCACTGCTCTAGCATCCCACACAATTATTCACTCAGTCCCATGCAATACCCCCTGACTACCTCAGCCCTCTATGCAAATTTATCTTCTTATGCTTACTTGATTCTTCAGTGACTAGGATTATAAAAACAAAACAAAAAATCTTGTAAAATATGTGCAAGATTCTTCATTTTTTCCTACTGTGCTTAGTTTTAGGAACTAGGGCAACTATTTGCTCTTTCATCTTTGCTCAAGAGCAGTTTTAATTACATAAGTTTTCTGTAGCACATGAGCACAGTGAAAACTTTTTTTTTTTTTTTTTCAGACAGGGTCCTTGATGGCCTCATCTATTCTGCTTTTCTTTGGCCTTTCATGGTAGCTCTTCAGTGCTCATTCTGCACCTATATGTTCTATATAAAAATATCTCTAAATATATTTTCATCTACTTTTTCTTCTATCAATTTGTCAAATGAGCAGAAACCTCTAAAAAAAACTATGAATAATGGCCCTTTATAGAGGATATGAGTGACATCTTTTTATCACATCTCATGATATAAGTTAATTCTGATGAGTACTGCTCAGGAACAGTTTGAGTAACACTTCATACACTCATAATTGTTAATGCAAGCAAATCATAGTTAAAAATCTATGCAAATTTGCAAATTCTTTAACATGTATTCTGTAAGGACTTTCTGCCCACTGTCCTCTTATTTTGTGATCATAGCTGGTGTTAGTGATGCTGAAAGATTATTTTCACACTGTTGCTGGTTTTTTTTGGTTGGTTGGTTGGTTGGTTGTTTTGTTTTTTTTTTTTACAACAATATACTTTTCAGGTCACATTTTAGAAAATATTCCTCCTCAAGAACCCCCACTCTCCCATAAGGCTGATAAAGAATAATGGGTGGCTTTAATTTATGATGCTAGTGCAATTTGGTGCAAAATCTCACTTTCCTTGGTAATTTATTCATAAGAAATATGAAATGAAATGTCCCAGAAGGTGTCTGTATACTAGCTTGCAAGGAGAATTTGCTCTGTCATATAAAGAGAAGGAATCTCTCATTATTAAAGGACCAAGATTTGGAACATCTGAGTGCTCTTTGATGTTATTTACTCACTGTTGGCTTGAAGCCAACAATAAAAACTTTAAATGTGACAGTGAAGAATTGGGCCCTGAGAGACATTGTAAAAACAAATTGCCCTTCTCGTTCCTCCTCAGTTATCTCCATCTGTGAAATGGGAATAGCCTGTTTGTCAGAGCACACTTGTGAGATATAATTCATTAATGTCTAAGAAACGGTTTTAGAACATCAAATGGAAGTATCTGTTCAAGTATCAGGTATTATTAGGTCTGAAATGAAAGCTATTATATATTGCTGCATCAGGAGCTACTTGAAGTCTCTTATTCTATACAAATAACGAGCAGTACACGAGTGATTTTTATCTTGTCTTAATAGGATAGTCTATCGACAGTGCTGTAGGAGTGGTTTGTACTGTTGAAATGACATTAGGGAGCGCTGCTAACACACTGAGCAGAGTCACCCATTCCAGAAATGTTTTGATTTGGGGAGTCAGAGAACCAGGAAAGAAAGAAGATACATGAGAAAAGAGAGAAAGGTAAGACAAGGATGGTTGGGGCAGGCAGGAGGAGAAGGGGTGAAAAGGAAGAAGTAAGGCAGAGCAGGGCAGATAAGCTGGGGGAAAAAAAAAAAAAAAAAAAAAAAAGGAAAAAAAAAAGATGAGAGAAAAAGGAAAGAAATTAAAACACAATCTTTTAATTAAAATAAGAAGTCAGTTGGATGTGTTTACAGAAGAAAAAAAAGACACAACACAACTTAGAAAAACAAGGCTGTAATGCCATCTTGGGGTTTCTGATGACATCTCAATCCAGCAGAGCTTTGCTCATTTGATTTGTGAATGTCAACAGAAACCCCTTGATGCCATTGAGGCTCGCAGTTGCCTCTCATTGATTCTGTATTATTTCAACAGTGGAAAAATAGCACCTTTATTTTCACAGCCAAAGTATCTCACACTGTGATAGAAATGTACATGTGCTTATTGAATATCATCTGTTCATTTTTACCTAACTTCTTTGTTATCACTATGGATTAGAAAGATATGTGCTCTTTTATGGCTATCACGTGAAAGACTATTTGTCAAATATACTTTAGTCCGAGTCTTCATTAGCCTAAGGAATATAGACTATTCTGTCCAGCTGTCTTATGCTGTTTATTATTTTAAATTCACCTTATTGGTGCAAAAATTACCCCAAACAAGCCTCTTATTGATTCTTCTGTGTTGTATCCATTTTTCTCATATTTCACAGACAGAATAAAACCTGTTTTGTGAAATGAGTGAGAATCTGCACTACTTATTCATGAGTATGTACAGAATTCTGAGCCCAACTCTGTAACATGCAGTATGTCTTCACGTTTTGCTCAAACACAGGAGGTTCAAAGGTGAAATCAGTGACCAAGTAATGTGTTGTCTCTCTCAGACTTGATTTCTACAGATTTCAGGTAAAGAGTGCCATTGTAAAATGCACAGCCTGAACTATACTATCCTGTGCTTGTGTCAGAAAAACTACATGAATTAATTGCATCAAAGACATAGTATTCTACTATGATGACAGTGGGAAAGGTCAACATTTAAATGATAAAAAATTGTTATCCTATATATAATATTCATAAAATAGACAGTCTTATTATTGAGAAATATTCAAATAATCACAACTTTCCGGTAGGAATTTTTTCTTCAGAAACAGCAAAAATTTTGAAGAAACATTCTATGGTAATTGAGCTGACATTTCTTTGTGACGTAAAATAATTTTGTGACAGAGGTGATTCCACATACACCTAAAACTTCCATGACAATCTAGCCTACCTAGTCAGGGCCAAAATCTCTTTAGTGGTGGGAATTTCACCACTTTTTGTTTAGGCTGACCATGTGTTTCTCTGTCCTTACAGCTAGGAATCCTTTTTGCAATTTCTCAGATAAATCTTCATGGCTTCAGGCTGAAATTATTGGGTTTTGTTCTGCTTGTGGTGGACATGGAGAAAACTGATCACTAACCTCATCTATTTTGTAACCATTATTTTTCAGTCTTTCCCCATCGGTCATGTTTTCAGAATTGCTCTTTTTGTTGTTCTCCTATGAATTTTCTCTCAGTGGTCAATACAACTTTTGAACGGTGATGCCAAAACCTGGTCATCAGTTTTCATGCTGGAACCTTCTAAGTATTGTGTGGATGACCTCTGGTGTCCTGCTCAGATCCTGCTGCTAAGATATCCTAGATTTACTGTTTTATATGTTCCCGTTTATGTCTCACTGGTGACCTGCACACTGCCTTTGGCATTCTTCATCTGATTCTGGGCTGCAGTGCTGCTGTCTGTTGTCCAGGTATTCTTTATTTTGTATTTGCATATTTTATACTTGCTACCTAAGTAAAGGACTTAGTCTTGATACTAGAACCCCACAGCTTCTTGCACTGGGTAAGAATTTTGAATTTACAGGCACTACACATTCTGGCTGAGGGAATGTATTCAGTTCTGTGAATTGCCATGAAACCCTGTCATCAGTGCAGTAGAGGGTTCTTCTTCCTAATCCTAAATTAATTTGTATATATATATTACCTCTCTTTTTTTTTTTTTTTTTTGGGGGGGGGGGGGGAAGAATTATTTCAGAACTTAAAAATTATTTTTCATTTTCTTTTTTCTTTTTCTTTTTTTTTTCTTTTTGGCTTAGTAATGAGACTTTATTCTAACAGTCTTTAATTATCAAAACTTTATTGAAAACATCAAGAGTTATATGAAGACACACTTGACCTGGAGTGAAGTATCAGGAGTTTTTAAACATTTAACTTATAGTGTATATTAGTATGAAACTAAGTTGAGCAGAACCCATTAATGTCACAGTGATCGGTTACCAATGGAAATAAATAATTCATGATGAAGGGAATTAGTCTAATTAGCAGGCAGTTTGAGTCCTTTGATAAAACCCAGCTCTAATTCCGTGAAGGGCAGGAAGTGCTGTCATCAGTCAGCCCTGAAAAGATTAGCATCTATTATGAATGAGGTTAGACACCCTAGTGAAGTCATGTGTGTCCTGGAGACAAACTTAATATGTTCCAGAATGGGACACAGTTTGTCTCACCAACACATCATGATTCCTACTGGGCTATTGTATGTAATAACAAGCAAAGATCAGTGCTCCTTCCTATCATTCTCCCCCTGTCCATCATTCTGACAACTGTGCAAATACATTTTCCATGCAAAGCAGGGAATGTGCCCTGAATACTTGTAAAATTGTATGAGATGTCAAAGAAAATGTGTTACCTTTTCTCAGCAACCTAAAACCAAAGCAACCAAAATACCAGTGAACAAAAGAGGGCTTAAAACACATCTGGCATATATATGGGTTATAGTGGGAGATGTATCAGTTCAAAGTATGTTGATTCCATTTGAAAACACTATTGTCATCTGTCATAAGACGTGTTGATAAAGCTATAGCTGTAGCTATGCATGATATCAAGGCTTAAAATAACTAGTGATGCTATAAGCTTATTGTATTGGATGGATATATAGAAGTAACATCCTGGAAAACTAACTAACGTTCTGGAAGGAAGGCAAAAAAAAAGGAGAAGATTCTTTGTGTTACATATTTTCATTTACAAATGTTAACTGGTTCATTTGAGGAGACTAGCTGTGAGCTGTGCAAGCTTCACAGTTTTGTACTACATGCTGACGCAACATCAGCTGTGTTTCCATTTTTGCTTATGAGCCTTTTGAAATTATATGTTTCCGTTTTGCAATTTGATGCAATAATGAAGAAACTCCACATTTGTACGTTATTGTATTGCCTGTTTTTATTGTAGGAAATTAATTGCTCCTTTTATTTATGTTATTAAGGGGGGAGAAAACAATTTTGCTGTATTTTATCATTTGCTGTAATAATTATCATACTAGTAATACAACGGAAGCCTTAGAAACAGAGTATATTATGTTCAAATGTCTGAACAGCTCTTAATATGCTGACACTTGTGGCTGGGGAATACTGGTGTTCAAATGTACGTCGAGAAACGTAACAACAAGTTACTAATAATATCCCTGATGAGCATAAGTTGATTTATAATTCAGAAATGAAGAGGAAAAGAATAAGTATAGTCAATGCAATAAATTATTTTCATAGAAACAGAACAATATAGTAACTAAGCTGGCCAAATACTAAATAATAATGGAGCATTGATATTGCAGAGAGTGTCAGAATCAAGTGCTACACTAACCTGAAGTACATTCCTAGATGAGATTAAAAAAAAATAGTGACCTTCTCTGAAGGGTTTATTGCTCTGAGTACCTGGAAGAAAGATACACAGGTTAGTCTGCCTTGATTTGTTTATTTTTGTCTAGAACTTGCTGGCTAGTAAGTCTGGACAAAATTCAGTTGTATGAGCTTTTTTACTGATTATATCATATCTTATTCTGTGTGCCTCTCTAAAATGACCTATGGTGTGGGTATGCCTGAGGCTAGTGAATGAGTTCATTCATCTCATTAGAATGGGTTTCTTTATACTTATGTGTGAACAGGTAAGTGCTGTAACTATTATTAATATTGCTGTGTTGGTGGGGCATGATCCTTAGAAGCAGAAAATGTATGTTCTGGAAAACTTTGAGTATTATACATCAGTTCAGGCAATGGACCAATATACCCTGAAGTCACGTAAAACAGAGGAAACATGAAAAGACTGTAACAAAAATATGTCACAATACAGAGGAGCTTCCTGTATAATTCACTTTTACATGTTAAATCCTCCATGGATTTCACAGGCTGTTTGGTACACTTCTTTCAGGTTAAAAATACCACTGAGTATAGACATAAGAATTTATCAAAACATCATTTGTTCCATATACTCCAGTAACACCCATCCCAGGTAATACTTTGGTAAAGTATTCTGCCGAAGAGATAGAGCAATGAATTCCTTCTTCCTAAAGCTTATGTCAGGTAGTCTTCTGTCTGCCTTTTCCTGCCCTGTCTAAGGTAGGTTGAAATGCTTCAACATAGGCACTTTGCCTTATTTGACTGAAGAGCCGTATACTTTTCAGCAGCTCGTGTTTTTTTCCAGATTATTCCCTTCAGAATTCATAGGGTGAAGCACAAGGTTAGGGATGAAGGTTAGCGGTTCCACCGCTGGTTCCACCCAGCTTTGCTCCATGATTCTATTTGAGGTTTCCACCAGGCACTGCTCAACATGACTTGGTGCATCACAGTGGGCCTGAGTCATGCGTCACAAACAAACCCAGCCCTTTCAGTCAATATCTACAGGTTACAGCTTAGTTGTATTCCCACTGAACAAAGATACATACTTCAAGGGCAACCATAGTTGCTCATAGCTGCTAATTTTCCTTGAAGAATGTGCTTAAGCAGTACTCTGTCCTTTTACTACCAGGAAGGTGACGTGGAAATGGCTAATGGCACAGCATGTCTGACTCTTAGGTGTACTTGCATTGCTGTATTCTCTTGACAAAATCTAAGTTCTTATCCACTGGGACAGGTGGACCTGCTGCTTCAGTAAGGAAAATGAGGGGAGGTCACAGTAGTTCCTAGGTTATGTGACAGAGGACACATACTCCAGGCAGCCATGCTGCTAGGGAGCTGCTCTTTCCCCTTCTCCTGAAAAAGGGAATTCTGCAGGACTTCGATATTCTAAAAACAAGCAAGCTGGTGAAAGAAGATCCTTTCATTGAGGCACTCTTTATCTCAGCATCTGTCTCACCTGTCCCTTCACTGAGGCATCCTTACAGGACATAATTCATTAATCAATTCCTGTCCTTCCTGCTATTTTGTAACCGGTGTTTACACGTGTCATCCCATGTCTCTGTTGTCCTTAATCCTTACTCACACCCTCCCACAACACCAATACAGTGAGATACTGCAGTGAAGGGCATGTCATCTGCATTCACAACTAAATCTATAACACACTGAACCATTTTCAAGGCTTACAAAAATGGCTGTTAGTCCATTCTCATTAACTACTGATCGCACTTTTGATCTGTTCTTGCTGCATGTTTTATTCAGGACTTCTGGTCATGCCCTCTTGTCATATCGCTGTGAGCTGTCTTTTTTGTAACTATAAGGCTGTTTAGATCTTTTTGTAAATAACACAGAGCTAAAATTGTCCTAATGAGTCTGGCATACTGGTGAAATGCCCACTCTCAGGTGTGTCTTTGATTCACAATGCTTATAATGTACTGAGTGATCTAAACCAACCGCTCTCTGTTGTGTTGTCCCCATCTCAGACCAGCTTGTGTTCTCAAATACTTGCTACAGAACATTAGATATTGGCTACTTCTACTGGACAGAAATACGTAGCAGAAAAATGCATGTCCCTAAGTTTCCCAATTCACCATAAAATTAATCTATTTTTTCTGCAAGTAAAATAAGTTCAGGCACTGCAACTCTCTCTCATAAAGTTTTCTCCAACTTGTAGAGCGAAAGCAATGAAGAATAGCAGAGAAAGGGGAATACATACAGATTGAAGTATATGTTATTGACCTAGTTTTACTGTATGTTTATCTGCATCCAAACCAATGTAATTAAGGCAACGGGATGGAGAAGGACTGAAGTAAGGTTACAGAAACAGTGGTCAAAAGGGTGTTCAATTCTAAGGACATTGCTGGAAGTATGAAAGCAGAGCAGCATGACAGGCAGGAGAAAGAGGGGATCATGCAGGCTAATATTGCAGGGACATAGGGGAAACAGTAGGCTATGCAGTCAGCAGTAAACACTGAAAGAGCAATCCTGAGCCACATTAAAAAGAAGCTGGAACTTGACATAGGCAAAACAATGGTGAGGAAGCCAAGTCTTTGAAACAATACTGGAAAATAATACTTCTGGCATTAGAGACAAGTAAGCTTTTTGCTGCTTAGTTTTAACTAGTTGTACTGCATATCACAACCTGCCTATAGATGAAAAATGCATCTCGTGCTCTTTGTGTGAATCCAATCCAAAGTGGACATTATAGCAGCATTTCCTGTATTTTGAGCAGAATAGAAGCCCTGGTTAAATGGAGTGAGAAATGCAGACATTCTCCTTACTGTAATCCTTGTGATACAAGAGGAGGAAACAGGTTTAGCACCAATTTAAACATCCCAAGACACTGCTATGGCAAGTCTGCAGTCCTGGTCAATGGGAAATTTTTGTTCATTCGATGTCATGAATTGTAGTGTACATAAGCGCAGTAAATTAAGCTCTTATGAAGTCTCCAATTAATGCAGCTTCTGTACTTATTTGTTGGAGATTGTCTCAATTTCTGATATTTCTTTTTCATCTCCATCTCTACCTGCAGTGCCTCAAGACGTCTTCTGTGCTGCTGCTTTTTCTGAGAGTCACAGCATCAGCTGGAGCCTGCTGAGACTTCCTCCAAAAGAAGCAGCAAGGAAAACTCACTGGTACGCTCTTTCGGTTACTACACTCAAATACCTGGTTCTCATCTGTTTTTCCATAAATAATTTTTAAAGCGGGGAGAGGGCACAGAAGGATGCATATGTTTATTAATTGAACTCAGATCCCACCTGGCTCAATTATAATGTGCAACCTCTGTGATGCACAACGCACTGCAACATTTTGACAGAACTCTTGTTGTCGAGGTGTTTGTCTCTAAACCAAGTAACAACATGACCTTCTCCTGTTATATCATCTGTGTGAATGCAAATTGTATTTTATCAGTGCACCAAAAATTTGAAGCTAACAAACCTTCTTTGAGCAGTGTACTGTAACTTCTTTTGCATAATTAAACCAGAACCCCCCTTCTGGACAGGTTCACTCAGCTTTGCCTTCCCTTGAGTAATACACCTTCAGACCAGTGCCTTGTTTTGATGTATTACAATGATAGACTGAAGAGTTCGTGTAATACATCATCACAGTCAGCTGTTGCTGGACGCCAAGGATTGAGAGACTGAGCCAGCTGTTTTTCTGATGTGTTCTGGTAATGCATCACTGGCCTATGGAAACTGATAATGTATTACTTCAAAATGACACTACCCAGAAAAGAAAGAGTCCAGAGGTGCAGACTCTGTATAATGAGGCATTCCAAGTACTAAACAGGGCTGCAAACTCCTGGAACAAGATGTTGGTAATAAATCAGCTTTCTATAGTATTACATTAGCAGTGTGGCTAGACGGGTATGCACAGACACTGTTGTGTGTAATCTGATTTCCAGTGCCTCTTTGTGATTCTGCTTTTGTGCAGATCAAAGATAACCCTAGCAGCAGTTTTACCTTCACTTCTCTTACAACCAAACAATTCACAATGCAAGCAACCCAGAACAAGAGACAGGGCAGAGTTACACAGTCTCAAGAAATTCAGTGAGTTGGGATTCTTCCTCAGTTTGGAGCACTGTTAGAGCCACTCAGATGCCACTCTTCCAGTAAACTGAGCCCGTCTGAGCCCATCTGAAGCAATGCCAGTGCTCCTCGCCTTTGCCCTTGACAGGAGTATTATGTCCCACAGGTGCAAAATAAGCTGGCCCAGAGGGCTGCAGTTGTGACTGACTTTTCTTGCAGGTTGACTGAAGGGGAGGAAGACTCCTTTAGCAGTCTCTTCATCCCCTCTGTTCCTTTTCCTCTGCCAAAGATTCAAGCCAAGCAATAACTGGTCCCCAGTTATTCTGAATTAAAAAAGAAAATTATTGGAACGGGTAGCAATTCTGAACATGTCTGCCTATAAAACTCTATCTCCTTGATGAAACAGGTTTGTGTATGTGTAAAAATAACATTTCCTTGAATTTACTTTTAGCCTCAGGTCCATCAGCCACTTCACTGCCTTGGCACGTATGACTGTTAATGAAGTAAGCATCAAGTTCCAGCAGAATAAAATCACTTTCACTAAACAACACTCTAGAGCTTTCTGTAACAAATGAAAATCTATCAAACTCTGCTTGTAAGAGAAAGAAGTGTAGAGACAAAATTATTTTTTAAAGCTGTGAAGTACATTTCTACCTGTAGCTCTTCCAAATACTTCTGTTTATTTTTTTGTTTCTTTTGTTGTTGTTGTCATTGTCTTTGTAGACTGCTCTATAACTTTGTATATGTAAACCTCATTATATCAATGGCAACCCTTGAAAATAAACAGATCCTGCCCTCAAACTTTACTTTCTAGTTATGGGAGGTTTAAAACAAGGGCTAAGTATATTTTCCTAAAAGTAAGTATACTGTTCTGTCCATAGTCAGACATTATAAATCATGGTACTACAAGACATTAAATATAGTTTTGTGGCATGTGATTCAGAGTCAAAAACATTCCAACCTCATTTACAAAATGGTCAATAACAGTAAAACTCATACTGCTGGCTTAAATGTAATCAAAGATTTTTGAGAGACACTTTTCCTGGCATGATTTATATTGGATCAGGTAGTTTCACAGCCTATCCTTTCACAGACACCATAAGGACAGCATAAATGTTGTGTCAAGTACTATGACTTACCCAGCAGAAGCATGGTTGTGTGCTCAGATTTCATCCCTTGGCAGCTCCCTTCATCCTCAGTACTCCAGAGAGCTGAGTATTATCAACCCCTGCCTTTTCATCTTAAAGCCAATGCTTAGCACTTTGCAAGGGCAAATTCCAGTGAGTAACATCTGTAATTTATTTCCTGCAGTTGATTGTGGGTATATAATTCCAAGTGCAAATGATCTCAGTAAACCACCAAAGATTTCTGCATTATAAAAAAGAAACACAAGATTTTTCTGTTCTTGCTTTTTTCAGACCACCTCATTTCATCCCCAAGATTATATACATGATTGGCAATCAACCTTGAAGCGTCACAGGAACATTTTACTCAGTCTTGGCTGCTTGTCTTTTATTTTATTCTTATTTTTAAGATATTTTTGCTTTTCCTTTAAACGTTCTGGCTGAAGAGTATATAGAACAAAAGATCACACATTGGGAGTTTGGCTTCCACGGGACCGGTAGCGTGTCAGGTGTACGTTCCCTCTTTGACACCATTTTGTCACAGTTAAATGATGATCATTAATATCTCCTTGAATGAGACTTCATGGAAATTGTAGCTCGGAACATGCAATCAGCTCATTTATGGTCTAACAAGTGTTGCCCTGAGACAGCAGTTGACTGACACAACCGTTTTTGTAAAATGCAACTTATCTGCTACTATTAGACACTGAGATTTGACTTTCTCTTTTCATTTTTGGCACATAACAAATGTTCCAGCTCTATTCTATGCATGGATAATCACAAAATTTGTATTTTACTCTTGTTACAAACTTGGACAATAAGACAAGTTTCTAATCGAAATAATTGTTTAAGATTATTACAGTGATAATTATTGCACTGATAATAACGCATTTCAGCTGACAATACATTAGCTCCATATGGAGATAAACTGAAAGGCCAATGGATTTATCATGATAACAAAATGGAATACTGTTAACTGTGACTGTAATTTTTCCATCCATGCGCAAAGAAATCTCCCATTGATTCATTGTCTCTTGACTGAGTGCTAGTAAGAGTTTCCTCTCCATATACATATATAACCAGATTGAATCCTAAATTAGTTTGATATCTTTGTTGTTGTTATTATGCAATTGTCTAAACAAGTACAAAAAGTGTGTACCTTAGCACTGTAAGAGTACGGCTTCTGGCTTTGAAAATGCCTTTAAAAAATAACAAACTGCAAGACAAGTAAGGAATAAAAAAAAATGTGCATCTATTAGGATTTTACAGGATAGATAAATAAATGGGAGCAACAAGTCTTTACATAATGACTATTTCCTGTATGCAGGAACCCAGAAGAGATGGCTGTATGTCCATGAGATGGCTCTGTGTCCATGATCTTCCACTGTTAAACTGAAGTCTTTGCTACTGGTGTTGCAAACTTTGGCTAATACAGCTCCAGCCTTTGAGTATCATTTTGGGCTGTATCAACTAATGTCTTTTATCCCTGAGTTTTACTCTCATTCTGAAAAGTATCCAAGGACACTTGGTCAAAAGAAGGATTTTTCACAGTGATACGTTTTTGTAGGGAGGCAAATGTACAGAACTGAATTGTTAAAAATCTTCAGCCAAACTGTCTTCAAAGAGCTTTGCATCAGACCATAAGCTTTTCCTTAGCAGACCAAAAACTGTTAAAAAAAAAAAAAAAAAAAAAAAAAAACTTAAGGTTTTGTTTAGTTCATCTGATTCACCTCTTTCCTGAGGTTTTAAACTATGTTTATCCCTGTGCTGTTTTTCTTACTTATCTTTAGACCATATCTTTTTTAACAATTAAATAATCCAGATCAAGAACACTATAAAATTCTTCGGACATTTTGAAAATTGTCATGGACGTTTATTTGCTAAAAAGTACATTTGACACCACAAGACTAACATTAATATGCAAATCAGTGGACTATAAAATTCGTTTTGGTGTGCCTCCAGGGCTGTATTTTTATAAATACAGAAACATAATTATGCATCCTCCAGAGAACTAAAAATAATTATACAAATTTATAACAAAGCCCAAGGCAGTGTCTCCTTTTAACTGTCTGTTTTTAATATCATTTAAATCTTGTTAAAACTTAATTACCAATTCTCTTCTGTAATAATTTAGGTGGAAGATCGGAAGATCTGAGGTCTAAGCTTGCTGTTTGAGAGAGAGAACTTCATCAGAGAAACAAAGACACCAAGGTACAGATTGACAAAACAGGACAGTGCACATAAAAGCTTGGTAAAGGAAATGCCACTGTAGATGACGATGAACAGAATATACATATATCTATTAACATCCACATGAAGTGAAACTGAGCTGATGTCTTTTATGATGGTAATATGTGTACACCTAAATATACATATACACAAATACGTGTATGTATATGTGGTAATTTATTCATTCATACTGATGTAGCTCAAACTGGTATCCACCCAGAGGGTACTCAAGGGACCAGTGCTTTCATTCTCAATCCCTGTTCCCCAGCTGTTCTCAGTCTGGAAGGTGATGGCTGCTGGGGGCAGCTGTAAAAGTGAGTAGCTCTAAATTCAAAGCTGGCCTGGCCACAAAGTTTAGACAATATTTGGAGTGGGCACATTTAATGTTTTTCTACTGTTTGAATGCTAATAGATCCATGCGTATTTTTAAGGCTACATTTCAGAACAAGATAATCTCTTATCCATAGCTGTTAGAAACAGGTATAGTGGCAACTGTATGTTTGAATTAGAGGCATGAGGTCAGGGGGGAGGGCCTTGGCTTTGTACCTCCCGTAAAGCGCCTGGTAAGCAACGTACAGCAAATGTTGCATAGTCAAACCTATTTCTTTAGACTGATTTACTGAAGATTCTCCACCCATACTGTTGTATCTGTCTGTCCAAAGACCCCAGCAATGTCATCTCTCTTTGCATTGAAGGTAAAGCACAGAGTAGAGCATATGGCTTCTGTGCCCGCAGGTTTGCCTTTGCTGCCAAGATGAGGAATCTAGAAAATAATCTAGGGTAGCTTCTTGACTTCCTCCATCAGCGATAAAGACCCCATCAACATGGAGACTGCTGCCTCGGGTCTTGTCTTTGTGTCATGTTTGCCAGCCAGTGTTTAGTAACAAGTGTCGCTGTCTGGTCCTCTGCTTTGAGCTAGAGCACATTTCTGTTAGCCTCCACATCCAACTGAAAGCAGCTTTGCGTTGATTTAATTCACCCTTTTTAGTATGACCATACTCACAATGAAGGATGTGCATCCAAACTTCCAGCTATTGCACAATTTCCACTGGGCATAAATTCAAGTGATTTGGCAGGGTGTCTGGTTGGGAACCAATTCTGCTTCATTCTATCCAGCGCATGCATTCCTTTTGATTGAAATGCCAGACGTTTGTTAGAATTACTGATGCTGGTGACAGCCATCTTCATAGCACTTCTCTGTGCTTTCAGATTGTGTATTCATTGAGTGTTAATGGAAATAAGAGATGCAAAATATTAGAGAATGCAGTATGTTACAGATTTCACATCCTTGCCTTATTGAATTAACAAATAACCTGTTCATTTGCAAATATACAAATTCATCCTATTTGTGACTGACACTTTGTATGCCTCAATTTTTTCTAAAGTGATAACACTTAAATTTTAGGATGTCAAAATTATGTTTTTATTTAACCACATAGACTACTCGCGAATCTTGTAGCTTTCCTGTAGGAGTGGTATCCTTCAGAGGTAGAAGTATGGAATATATAATAAGCTTATTTAATTTGTAAAACCTTGAAATTTAAATCAAGTGTTAAATAGGCTGTCATTTGCACCTGTGCAATTGAATTTGAAGTTGAGGGGTTTCCTGAGCTGGACTAGGTTGTAAATAGGTTGGTTTTATTGGGCTGTAAATACATTTGCTTCCAGTCATTGTTTGCCATGCAGCATGACCACAGTAGGTGTGAAAATGCAGGTGTGAAACTTTCCAGGGTGTTGCTAGTCAGGCAGAAATTGCAGGAACAAGAACAGGAACAAGAGTCTGAACATGACCTTGTCTAAACTGACTCTGCTCTTAATTTGATTTTTTTTCCACAGGTTGTGAGTTCTGGATCTATACTTTTTACAACTGAGCTTTGTAGTCTTGTCAGGCTTCAGGGAAACCTGACAGAATTGAGAACTGCCCTGAATCTACTCGTGTTGTAACCAATGTGACACAGCAGCATGGGGCCTTGTGAGGCCAGGGAGAAAAGTCCAGAGGACTGAGGCTGCAAAACTGCAAAGATGTACCTGGAGAAGGTAATTGAAAAATTGGTGTGAGCACATTTAAGAAATCTGATTTATTTGAACAGTCCAAATAAATGAGATTTTATTGCTAGGCATAGGTTTTCTCGTGATATTTCAAGAAAATACCAAAGATCACAGAAATGGCAGGAGCTTGTAACATTCCAAAAATGTTCTCAAGCTAATTGCAATCCCCTTTGCCACTTTATTTCTGCAAAATGTGACATATTTAAACATTGCCAAAGAATATGCTTCTTAAATGTCAGTAAGTTTTTAGGAAACATAAAGACTGCAAGATGTATGACAAGAACTAAGATTCCCCAGATGAGTGCCATAGAAAATCTTTCTTCTAAGAAGCCTGAGAAATTTCAGTCTGGTATATACTATTAATGCAATTCTGTGGCAGCTCTTGAGGGCTGTCATTATCAGACTTGTTCCAACTGGACAATGTCAGACAACCCCAGGCAGGCAGTCATAGGAGGAAGCACTAACACCTAGCCAGCATGTACACTGTTCTTGCTGTGCCTTGGAGGCTACAATTCACAAATAATGTCCATGTGTGAAAGGGGAAAAAAAAAAAGCTCCTGTTTGCTCTGCTTGAGGCTTGGGAAATATTAACTTTCAGCATTCTGCTGAGCAGCGGGTGACAGCGGTGCTGACATCCCAAAGAGGTAGGTAGTGGGAGGTGTGCAGCATGCCTGTTTACATTGCCTTATCTCCTTCATGCTGGATTCCTCTGTGGCACATTCAGTCCATTTGTCACCAAGAAATAAGATATAGTGACCAAGAGGAAGTTGCTTCAAGGGAAGGATTAATTTCATACCATGTAAGAAAGATGGCTATTGATACTGCATGAGGGGAACACTTATCATGTTGATGAATTTCATGTAGCTGATAGTGTCAGGCACAAAAAGTTTAGTTTCAGCATTGCGTCCTTTGCAGCTCTTAAAGCTCTGAGGTCCAATTGGATGGCATGGGTAGGTGGAATCCTACCTACTCTGTATCAGGTCCCACTCCTCAGTCAGTCTGTAGTAGCTCTGATGAGATACAAATTAGAGTAAGGCCCCAAAGCCTTACAGTTTATATATGTATGTCAATAACTGCTAATTGTGGAGAGAAAAGGGGTTCTTTTTCAATTAATGCTAATTGGATCTTTAACATACGGGCACTAAATTTCCTGGAAGATAAATGATGTTCTTTATGCCCCACATCCCTGAAGGGGAAAGTGCAAATGTTTCCAGAAGTTTTCCTGGGAGGAAAAATACTGTGCATTTCTTTTCTAATTGCCAGCAGTGGTGTAACTGCACAACCCCTGCAGACTGGTTAGGCTGAGAACAAGACTAGATGATGCACTGGATGCCTTCAGGTGGGTAAAGGAACAGTGAGTAGTGTTCTGACAGTCCTCAGCAGCAACACTGCAGTCATAGTATAGCAGACTTACAATGTCAAGGCTGTGTTCCAGCCTCCAGTCTCCACTCTCTTCTCCAGTTATGCACTGCCTAGCCCAGGTTATCTAAAGGTAAATGGCTGAAAAGTCTAAATAAAGAGAGTTCAAAATACATGTCAGGGGAAAAACAAACAAACACCTTCCTGTTACACTATACTACAGAATTTAGTGCTGACTTAAGAAGCAAACATGACAGCTGTGCCTCTTTACTTTGGGAACTTGTGAAGGACAGAGCAGTTACAAAAATATGATTGACAATTCTGAGGTGAAGAATATACTGATACTACACACTTTGCAGATTGCTCTATCCCCCTTGATTCAGTGGAAAATAAGTTTTGTGATACTGGTCCTTACTGGTTTAAAATTGAGACTTAGGCTTGGGGGAACCCAAATTTAGGTTTCAGCCTCTCCAGACTGGAAATTTATTCATGGCCATACAAAGTAACATCATTCTGAACTTAAAGGTGAAATAACTGGCCTTCTTAGCTGACTGTTCTGTAACAAAACTGGTGAAAGTCTTAAAGGGGTGTGAGCTTTTCAGCTCTTGGTCTTACATGCTGAAAACATCTTTCTGCAGGATTCCCATGTGTGAAGCCAAGGCATGCCAGGAAACCCTGTATGAATATCGTATCTTGACTACCGCATATGTGGAGTTTTAGTTTATTAGGTTATTAATCATTAATAGTTTTGTACTCAGTTCTAGCACGGGGATTAGTCACAACAGTACTTGGAAGACACACTTTGATCCATTGATCAGATAATAAAAGAAGAAATATCAAGTTGTTAGTTAAATTAATGATTGACCTACTGGAGTTAATGCCCCATTTAGATTAAAAATTTAAAAGTTACATTTCTGCAAAGTAATGAATCTGAACTATTTTGTTACTTTGGTTTCTTACTGATCTGTTCCAGAAAAACAACAGTCCCTGGTGAATAAAAGAAATAAATTATTGCATGTTTCAAGTGGAGTTCCTGTTAGTAAATCAGTCATTAGCCCAATTAAATAATGTTCATCTCCAGAGATGAAATGCTTCCCATATCCTGGAAGAGCTAGAATATCCCCAGGATCACAGACATTTAAAACTATGATTGCAAAACACATTATTGAGATGTACAATATTTGCATAGTTTGCATGCACAATGAAAGCTTTGTGTTATTTTTCTTTATGAGGCTGTAGCTAGCAAATTGCTAGATTACCCAGAAGACTTGTTGAGATCAGAGAACAAGCCTGCATAAGAAGGTCATGCCTAATACTAAAAATACCCAGCACTGTGGGCTTAAAAAAGCAGCATTATCCATTTGAAAATAGCAATAGGAGCCATGGGAAAATAGTATCCTGCAGTCCATCGGAACATGCTGATGTTAGTGAGAGTTGATCATGCAAAATAAAGGCCAGAATTGAGTATTACATGATATATATTGGCAGTTTTAATGAGGTAAAACTGTAATATACCCTCAGGTAATTCTTTAAATTTTGTAATTCTTTTTCTTTTAACAAATATTACAAATCATGAAATATGCAAAACTGTGTTTTGCTTTCTATGTGAGTTCTTTTATTTCATTTTCTTCATATTAATGCATATTTAAGTTTCAGCAGTTAAACTTCTGTGTACTGTACTTAGGGAATATCATACAGTATACTACTACAGTATACAGTCATACAGTATACTACTGTATGAGGAAGATATGGAAAAAGTAGTGGGAGGCAGTTTATTGGTAAAGACCTGTATTTTCAGGTCACAAGGAACTTCAGTGAAGGGAAAGTTTGGAAAGAAGAACAGATAAGTGACAGAAGAACTATGCCAGTTAATGTTTTGAATGGTTAATGGAAGTGGATTTGAACCATCTTTTACCACTGCTGGTATTTTGTGAATAAGAATTTCTGCTAAGTGCCCTTGAATAGTCCTCTTACGTTTGTCATTAAATTCTATTTTGCTTCCCTTTGTAGCTGTAATGTGAACATAATACTGTCATCTTGCCTTCTCCAAATATTGAATACAGAAGAGAAAATGCTTTTCCACACTGAGCCACAACTTCACAGGCTGGTATTTTTTTTTGGCGCATATTCAAATGTCTACAAGCTTCAAACTTGATTATATGATTAGTAAATCTAATAAATTTCTTTTTTTTTTTTTTCTGTAGGTAGATGAATTTCTCCAAAAGCATATTAATTTTGATAAGGAATACATTATTGTTAAAACTGTAAAATTATCTCAGTGACCCAGAGTTCAGTTCAAAGTTTGTGCAAGCAAAATTTCACCTGCTGCTGGACACAGTGCTTGGGTTATTAACATCATTAGAGTGCAGCAGGTAGGAGTTAAACTGGTATAAATTTCTTCAGCTTTAGATTTAATTTTTTTTTCTTCTTTCAGCTCTTCTTTTGTTAATGCAAAGAACTCACTTTAAGCTTATAGCCATTAAAAGGTACCAAAGAAAAAATGCAACAGATGTCACAAATTATTCTTATACTGTGAGACTGGGTTGTGTATTAGGTCTGTGCTTCATTTGGAGGGTTCTGACCTTCCAAAAATAGCTCAGCAGAATGGTGTCTGCACAGGGACCCAGAAGGGCTGATGTTAATCCTGGTTCTCTCACTGATCTGCAGGGTGACCTTGCACAATCTGTGTGCCATTTTCCTTCTTGCTAAAATGAAAATAATAATACTTACAGCCTTTGCAAAGCACTTTCAGAGCAGAGCATATGAATCGATAACATCTTCTTAAGTATGTGAAATAGCAGAGGAAATTCTTCCCACTTGCATTAGTGCACTTTCAGCATTTAGAAATGTGAAATTATAAAGATTATTGCATGGGAGGATGAAGCTCAGAAGTGTTCCCCTAATCAATAAGTTGCCAACTGGAATGCAAAGGAAAACAGCACTAAGGTAATGTACCACTTCGTGTAATAAAGAAAGAATAAAATATGTGTTTTCAATGTGAGTATGGTGGCTACCAGTGCAGTCACACTGTATTGCAATGCTGACTTGCTTGCTTGTGCTGGTGTGGAATGGTATAAAATGTATAAACAGTCTGAAATCCCTACATTCATTTTAGTAGGAAATCATTTAGATTTTCTGGAGAGACCTGTCAGTATAGACAGAATAGGAGAGCTGGAATGTTTTGGCCATGTGTGCTTGCCTTGTTCTGCATATGGGGACTTCTTTTCCTTTGTAGCCTCCTCTTGTGCAAATCCAGCATGGGTCATCTTGGCACAGTGTGGTTTACAAGGATGGCAGTAGGTCTGATACTCTGCTTTTCTCTGTATGGCTGCTGACCATCTGCAGAATCTTTTTGTGGTCCAGACAAGTGAACAAATTGTGCCTGAGTAGTGTACCTAACTTGTATAATGTCTCTCAGGATTCTGTAACAGGTACTGCACAGGCACAGCATCATCTACTGTGCAGTTTAGGTGAGTCCTAAATAAAATATTTTAAGCCATCTGTTTAATTGCATTAAAAATACCCTGATGATCTTGCACTGTCTGAATGGTCTCCAGGAAACTATTTGGCTAAAGCAATTTCTCCTTGGCAATGTTTAACTAATTCACTATGTTTGCACTGTGAATTACAGCAGGTCCTCATACCTTTTGTTAGTACTCCATGTACCAGAGCCCTGCTTCCTACTACTGGGCTCACAGTTGCCTAGTTCCTTCTGCTTTCTCACCACTGCCTGCCAAGCTCTTCATGAAAGTGCAGACTTTGGGACCAGCACATGAGAGAAGGAGCTGGGCAGGAAAATCCATCCCTCTTCTTTCCCAGACAATCTTTGAGCTTCAGGCCTGGACAAGGAGGAAAGCTTGTGCCAGTTACTGCCTGTACACTCTGGCTTGGTGCCCACCATAAATCACTTGTCAGCCAAAGGACCAAAGTCTCCTCTACCAGCAGAGAATGGTGAGATGTTGTCTTGGGAGTCCAGCTGGAGCAGTTTAACAAATCTTCACTTCCACCTGCCTCTTCCATCACCTCAGCTGGCAGCTTCTACTGTCCCTCATCTGAGACCCTGTACCAGGGCACAAGCACTTAAAAACACTGCTTGGAAATGATCTGAAAGAGCAACAGCGGGTGCTTGTGACTTCTCTAGTGGGTGGTAAGAATGATGAACTCTGGAAAATATGCACGGTTGCTACTGGTCATGTTTGGGGGGCGCAAGTGGATTCTTGCAGGAGGTGCCAATATTGATGTCCTTCTCTCTTTCTCTAACAGAGACTCATTTTCTTCCCTTTATTTGAGTATTAAAACTTCAGTAAGCAAGACCCCAGTCTTATTCCCACCCCACCATCAGGATCTCTCTCCTTCTCCCTTACAGCTGAAGTTGTGGCATGGGTCAGAAACTACTTTGTGCCTTGCAAGGGCAGACCCCCAGAAATCTGTGTGCCAGCTGAGATCCTGTAGCCCTATTCCAAGGTGGCCTTCTCAGATAGACAGAAGTACCTTCCAGGTCCAGGTGTCTCAGGAGCTGTGGGGCATTCGGCAGGGCAATGGGTGAACAGGGAAATGTCCCTTAGGAGAGGACTGATCTTAGCCACCACCAGGACATTCCTTGTAAGGCTGCTGTGGAGGCACAGGGCATGGCCCAGCAGCTGCCTGTGCCAGCTCCTCTAAATGAGGAGCCTGCAACTCCTTGGCTCTGTGCTCTGCAGGCACAGGAGGCAGTGTTGGCCATTTGCTCTCCATGCCTGGTTTGGTCACCCCTTTGCCTTTCTGCTGGGAAAGAGGCATTGGGAACACAGGAGAGAAAGGCTCCCAATGATACAGATAAGCACTGAAGACTTGGGGCCTTGCTTTGATTTGTCATTAAGAATAAATTAAAGCCAGTCTTCTAATAGATGTTGAAGTTGGTCTGTCATGAAGATTGCTTGAATATTCCATCCCTTACTCATGGACGAGAGTCAGTGGGTAGTTTGTACTGAGATCCAGCCCCACCCTTTCTATTCAGAAGTTCCCCTTACAGTTCAGCTAAACTGACTGAATGTCTCCCAAAACTCTCTGTAAGTATCTAAAAATCTGGACTGCAAATATTGGGTTAGCGTGGGCCATACTGTTAGATTATCTCAGCATAAACTAAAACAAGATTGTAATGTTTATCCATTTTGCTTGATAAAAGCATAAAAGAAAATTTGCCGTTGGGTGTGGTACAGTGTTTATGATTAAATGCTTTATTCATACTTGTATGTCAATCTATTAGCGTGCTGTTAATTCAAATGTTACTATGATGTATTTTATCGCCATTAGCACATTTATCACAGGTAGATGTGAAACTTAGACAAAGGTGTACATTCTCATTAATGATGAGCAGCCTATTCATCTTACTAGAGTGTAATTAATGTTAGTTATAATACTTAATTTTTCACTGTTTGTCATGGTGCATATTTAGCATTTCTTCTGTCCTTTATCAATCTGCTCTCCTATCATATGAGCACATCAAAAAGATATATGTAAGTCTCTGACCTGTTTTGATGCCTAATTTTTATACTGTTCCAAGAACTGGAATATTTTTGTTCTTACACGGTATCCAGTACAGTTAGTTAAAAAACAGACTGTATCATGTTGTTCACTGTTCTGGGTTAGTGTTGTTTTTTTTTTTCATTAAAAACATAACAACCAAACAATGAACTAAATTAGGGATGCAATGAAGACACTGAGGATCACTTGATGCAGTATTGTGCTGTGCTTGTGTGAGGTTTTAATGGTCCCAATTTTTCTCCTGGATTTTCAGTTACATTTTTCATACTACTAAGAATGTTAGTACTACTAAACTTGTTGTGTAAACAATACATCTATGAAAAAAGTGCAAGTGTGGTGTATCTGAAAAGTATACATTATTAGCTAAAAATGTGTTAGAACAGTTTATTGTTATACATAGCTTTGTGAATAATGCTGCTAGCAGTCATAGAGTCAAACTACAGTCAGTGGTGCAAGACCAGAAGAAGTTATGGCTGATGTGTCACACAGCAGGTGGAAAACACACTGTGAAGAGTTAGGTAAAAGGGTGTGACAAATGAATACATCCTTGGATTTGCTCCCCGGAATACCAATAAATATAGGTGTGCTGGAATCCTAGAAGTCCATACTTACGTATGGGACCCAAGAATAACGCAACCGCCTCGGATGAACCCTGGGCACCAAAGCAGTTTTATTTCTTGCTCATCCAAAATTCCCATTAAGCTGGACTCATACTTCATGTAATACTTGGGAAAATGTATTGGGAAAAAATATTTGAACTAGGTCAACCAAGTGTTTCAGGTTTAGCATTCTGTGAAAGCAGAATTTTTCTCCAAAATTTTAAAGAACTCTCTATGAGAGAAAACACGCCTATTCCTATTCATTAATTCATTTTCTTAAATGGCAGACTTTACATTTCTAAGCTCTTCTGATAATAATCAAGGTTAGAGGAATTAGCCATTATTTTCTGTGAGTTTATCTCTTTTGTAACTACTGTTTGACACAGCCTACTCTTCATGCCAGACATGAGGCTGACCACTTCGCATCTACACCATAATTAAATAGGTCTTAAACTTCCATTCAAGTCAACGAGGGCTCACCATTGCTGCTGAGAAACTTGGAGCTATTAGAAAAAGCTTAGAATACTTTTTGGTATGCCTTGGATTAATCATTATTTCCTTCTCACCCACCATGAGTGAAGTATAATGCATCTAAACACAGAGATTTAGCATATTTCAGTATGAAAAGTCAATTTGTACACAATCACAAGTAGTTATAATTGTAGATTAGTAGTAAACTAAGAACAAAAATACCAAGCTAGGTTTAGGCATTTTAAACTAAACGATAGTTGAAGGTGCTCCACAGTCCCTCAAGTACAATAATAACCTGTAATGTGAACAGGATTGAGCAAATTTTTCCATGGTACCAAAGCAATACTCCACAATGAGTTTTATTTCTACAACTGCACTAAAATCTTTTCATTAAAAAAGAAACTCCTTCCTTTGAATTCTCTGTTGCAAAAAAAGACCAGGACATTTTCCATAATATAGCAATACTCCTGAAACAACAGGCTCTGCAATTCTCTTTCTTCCACCTCTCCCC